GGAGGGGGGAGAGGAAGGGTGGGTGGAGGGGGAGAGAGGTAAATAGCCTTAAATCGAAAGGGAGCTGCTTCTCTGTGGTCTTCCACAAGAGCTGCCTGGGCTCTGCTGGCTCAGTAATAACTGAGTGACCTTTTCTTTTGCTGTATTATGTCTGGCTGGTAAGGGATTGCATTTTGCAGCTGATAAAGCCCTGACTTCATTCAACTCGGCTCCTCACACGCTGCTTTAGGTAAGTTGTCTTCAGCCAGGACGGAGACAGACAGCCTTGGACTGCAAGATACTAAAAGGAGGACACCTGTAGCTCGGATGCGGTCAACACAATTACTTGGCGGATCCTTGAGGACCTCATTATTTTAAACTTAAAGAATAGCGATCTCCCTCCCCATCTCTCCCACCCCCTCTTTATTTTTTTTCCCCAAACAATGCTTCTTTTTGACCTTTTCCAAGGAGAAGAGCTACAAAGCAGCCACTGTGCTTATTGAACTGCCTCCCCTGTATCGCTTAATTGAGAAGGTAAGTGAGGCAACTGTGTACATAAGCTTTGGGTCATTTGTGTATGTGTGTCTGCATCACTCCCTCTCCCTCTCTCTGAGTCATAAGCCGGGGCTGCAATACACACACACACATCTCTGCACTGCAACTTTCGCTCAAGCTGCAGCTCTGCTGAGACTGTTTTCTTTAAATCATGTGAGGCTTCATTATTTTTACGATGAGACATGAAATACATGCAAGCAGAGGATGCTGAGCGAAACCCATCCAACTGTATGTCTCGAGAAATAGCAGTCAAAGTTAACAATGAATAGCAGCACCACCGCCACCCCCGTTATTATTGTTATTATTATTCTTGCTTCTTCCAGAGCTTCTCGAAACGTGCTCTCAATTATCAAGGGAGTCGGTTAATTTCCCACTCCCCGGCTTTAATCCACAAGCCTCCCCGCACAGCAGTTTAATTTGCAACTGGTTCGGTGCAGGGTTAACCCTTTGGGCAGAGCGGAGGCAGGAGCGCGGCTGCTGCCGGGGGGCGGGGGGGGAGGCAACGAGAGTGTTTCTCTTGCCTCTTCGATCCTGAATGCGTTGCCGTAGCGAGCGCCCGTGTTTGCGTGTGCTCTAAAGAGACCCAAAATACCGCTTCCTAGGACAGCTTTGTGGGACCGCTGTTTAAACCAATTAATCTTGCTAGGTGCAACAAATATCGCTACATGCTTTCCCGACACCTCCCTCTCCCCTCTTCCCCCCATCGCCCCATCCCTGCGATGCTTGAAAAGGAATTAGCACAAAAGGCTTGAGCGTCTAACTCCAAAAGGGATTCTTTGTTGTAAGAGTGTATGTTTCTTATTTATTTTTTTATTTTGCATGTGAGCTGCATCAAAATTGAACTCAGTCTTGCAAATCTCTTGTTGGCCTTTGCCAAGCACTAGCACTTTGCTGCCATGGTAACTGTAATTAAACTGATAAGAGTGGAAAAATGTCAGTATCTCTGAGCCTTGCAGCTGCATTGGAGAAAAAGGGAATCAAATTGGTTCCCAGCACCACTGGGAGGGAGGGGGGGGTGGGGGGGGAGAGGTGGGGGGGACACGACAGGGGTAGGAACATAGCTAAGCAGCTCCGTCCCTGGGATCTGGGTACATCTATTTGCTGTGTTGTCCCTTAGGGGGCTACAGCCTGCAGGGATGCTCTGGGCCAGTGAACAGAGAGAAACAAGCTTTTAGGCCCAATCTAGCTTTCAAAAAGAGAAGGGGGAAAGAAGAAGAGAAATCTTTTGTTTGGTGTCTCTTGGCAGTCGACTAGCCATGTTGGCCAAATTCTTTTAATCTGTATCACTGCTCCCAGCTGTGGGACTGCATTCCCATTTTTAGTTTTTACCTAACCTCTTCTCTCTCTTTTTTTCTTCCCGCTTTCCAACCCACCTCCTTGATTAAAAAAAAAAAAAGAAAAAAAAATCAGATTCTTCTGTAGAAGAAGGGGAGGAGGTGAAGTTTAGTTATGGAAAATTAACTCAAAAGTATACAGAAGAGACTATATTCAGAGTACTAAAATCCTTACTTTTATTTAAAAAATAAAAAACAAACTGAGTGTTATGGAGTTGCGGTTACTTTGTTGTGTTAACTACAGAAGCTGAGACTGTGCGGATGAATGGCACAGAACAAGAGAGCATAATGGAGGCAATCAACCGTTAGGCTGGTTCACAATGCAATCCAGGCAATTAAAAGCTCACCAGAGTTTAAATGAAATGGTTCTACTTATTTCTGTGCACCACACTGCACAGGCTATTATTTATGTCTCTTTTTTTAATTATGATTTCCCTTAAACTGTCAAATAACTCAGAATAGCAGGGTCTCAGAGGCAATAAGAATTTTCCACAGAACAATTTACATGCCAATCTAAAACTAGTTACGACTCCTGATGTGCTACATGCGAGTTCTGAAATGTTTCTTAGCTTCTGAAACCTTAACTTTTTTTTAAGCCGGTGTGTGTGTATTGTCCTGAATAATTGGAGCTCTGAATGCTTTTAGGATGAAGCTACAAAGTGGGAAAGCATCGGAAAAGTATTCTTTTTATCTTCTGCTAGATCTCTAACTCTTGTTGACTGCATATTGTCTGTCAGTTTGCTGTCTTTTAGAGACCAGTGCACTGATACCTAATTTGCTCCAAACTGGTTTTTGTTTGGTTTTGGATTTTTTTTTTAAGTAGAGGCAAGTTTTTCCTTTCTTGCTGTACATACTACTGTCCTTGGTAGAACCCTGTTCGTGCCTCCACAAAGGAGGGGAGGAGAGTGGTCTTTAAAAGTTTTTAAGTGATCCGGTGCATAATAATATCCAACTCTTCCTCCCTTAACATGCCTTTCAAAGATTGTCTGTACCATAAACTAGAAACTGAGTTCTGAGGGTCTTGTGCTGCACTCAGCACCATCAGGGACCAATCCTGCTTACAGATGCTACTACATCACTAGCAAAATACAGTTCATTATGTCAAATCTTCATTGCCTTTGATTTTTGAGAAGGGTGGTGATTGGAGTGAAATGGATTTTTGTTTCTCTGCCTTCCTCCAGGAGCCTAATTTAGCTTTTTCCAGCAATCTTTCCTCTCTATCCTGAAATTCACAGTTACAAACTGGTTGACAGTGTTTCATCACACGATAATAACAATAACCAGGGATGGGAATCAGTTGCATCAAAGTTATTTTGGGAGACCAAAGGAAATCCAAAAACCTGTTAAGTCAGGTTATGAAGTTTTTCCTTCAAAAATCCTAAAGGTGGTGGATGGTGATTAAGAAGTCTTATTCCTGACATAGCTCTGCAGTTTATATGCAGTGTCTTGGAGGCTGAGGGTGAAGGAAGGAGGGAATGGAGGGAAGTATAGGGGAAGCCCTTGAAAGCATATTGGGGTGAAATAAAAAGTGTGTGTTTGACAGCGACAGACTAGGAACTGAAATCTCCCAGTTCTGAGAGCAGATCTGCTCTGTGATGCAGAGCATGGTAGGACTCTGCAGAACTGAAGGAAAAGTGGGGTTTGGGGTTTTTTTTTTGGTTTTTTTACAGCCTAGGTGTAGCACTTATGGAATCATATGGTTTTCTTGGAAGTGCTCCATAAGCTCTGCCTTCCTGGGGGAGGGGGAGAGGAGGGCAGCCGGGCAGCAGTGCTGTGTGCTGCTACCTGTTATTTCAGCGGCGAGCAGTTTGGATGGTTTTGTGGGTGCTGTCAGCCTCTGAAAGAGTCCTTCCTGTGTCCTAAGAAATAAATGGGTACTTAAACCACAGCCTGGGAAAAGCTGGCTAACAGTAAGGTGCAGGTATTCTTATTGCCAAATTGCGGGAGCTAAAAATACACAAACGCGTATCTGAAAAGTATAAAGGCATTGGAGATCTTATGGGAACATTAAAGGGAAGAGAGATGGTCTGTGAGGTGATCTGCATTAAGGTGGCTTGCTTACCGTACAGAAAAAAAGTAATCAAATGTTCTGTTTTCAAAATTAAGTGATTTAATCCAGGGCATGTGAAGAAAAGGGCATGTGCAAAGAATTTGGAGATACATAAAACACTTACTGGACCGCTGTTCTGTGCTTTGTTTTGTTTAGATCCATTCTACACTTCAAAAAAAGAGTAACATTTTTTATAATGAAGTAGTACTTCAGGGATTGTTTTTTTTAACTTTCATTAAAATAGAAGCAGCTTCATCTCAAGTAAAGTGCAAAAAGATCTGATCTATCTGAGAAAAGCATTCCTTCCCTCCAAAAGCTGCTGCAGATTGAATCCCTAATCTAAAGATGCTGCCGGTGGGATGTCAGCAGCACCTTCTCTTTCAGCCTCAGCAAAATAGACATGCAGGGTTGCTAAGACTACTTCCATAAGGTGTCTGCCCCTTTTCACTCCTCTCTACAAGGAGGGTTTGGGCTAACCAACCTGAATGACAGTGCTCTGCCTACTTGTAGCTAATGTCTCAAAAACTGTGCAGGAGTATGTGCAAGACTGTGCAAGCTGCGGTTTTATTTGTAATACGATAACCTCATGTTTGCAGCATGTACCTCAGGAATTATCAGGCTTGATTATTGCAATTTACTCAGATATTCACTTGGTTAGCCATGTTTCTGTGGCACCTTGTTCCCTTCAGACGGCTCAGGACAGTAGATCAGCCTGGATCAGAGACTGTCAGCCTCTGCTCTCTAACCCGCTTCCTTATCAGGCGACAAAATTTTTACATTAAGATTTTTTTCTTTAAAGCCTTTAACTGTGTTAGCTCCTAGTTTATCCTGGTTTCCCTCGAGCTAAAGATTAAAGTCCTAGAACAGCCCTTCATGCTTCTGAACTTTTTTACTGAGTTTCAAGAAGTTGATACAAACTGTGGCTGATTTTATGCATTTGTCCTCTACATGGCCGAAGAGAGGGGCTGGGGATAAGCAAGTTGTTGGCACTTAACAGGTATTTATACTCTACTGTGACATGCAACTTTACAGATTAAGGCTTTTAGACCAAGTGAAAGTATTAGAGATCCAGCAGGACTTCCCTTTACAGTCTGGTATAGGTTCTTTACTAAAAATATCTGATATTTTCACTGCTTTTAGTCATTTATTTGTAGCCATGTTATTTTGCTGCTTCATGTATGCACCCTGGATTCAGGGGAGTCAGCTGGCAATTGAAAATACTGTAAAGGCTCAGCCTTTGTCTCATGGTGCTTGCTCACGTTGAGAGGTGTGCGTTCATTCCCAGATCTGCCATAGACTTACTGTGGAGCCCTGTGCCGGTTGCTGGATCTCATCCTCCCACTTGTGAACGAGAAACAGACCTTACGAGTCTGTAAGTGGTGTAGGAGCTATCAGAGTAGCATTGATTGGGGAGTAATGGGAAGGCAGCAATGCCTTTTTTTATATACTTACTGATAGAAAAATACAGACCTTACACTTTTGTTATGAGCTTTAGCTGTTATGCAGCAGTACTGTCATGGTCCTTCGGGGTGCCCACTACGAGAACTGTCTGCATATCACTGGACGGCTAATTTAACGGATAAATATATTGCACCAAAATGCGTACTAGAGTGTATTGCAAAGAGGGGAGCAGGGCTGTTGTGCTCATATGTGACCATAAGAATTAATATTTCTAAATCAGTGATCAGCTTCGCAGGTGAAACTTGGGAGTTCAGCTTGGTAACCCTGGAAAGTCACTTAACTGGCTCTACAGTCACTGCGGTCCACATGAATTCAGTGTGTTCCACGTACACATATGCATACAGATCCCTGGGACCCCTCAGCTGGTGTAGCATTTAGCTTCTTGTCTTCATAGCACTAATATCCATAAAGGCACACTGTACCATTGCTTGAAGGATTATACTCATTTTTGTGTTTTCCGCATGAGAGCTTTAAAAAAACAAACAAAACCCCAAACCCCAACTTGTTCATGTTCCAGTTCCCTGAGCCTGCCTGTCTGTAGTGGTGTGTTACAGCACCAACCGAGATCATCTGATAGAAGCTGGGACTGTAAAGCTTTCTTAACAGTAGGTAGTAGAGCATTCTTGATGAGGAGCTCTTGAATTTGCTTTTCTTTGTTACGAGACTCTATTTGACCTTTCCCAGTCTCTGCATAATAACAGGGTGCCATACCCTGAATTTTGGGGTAGGATTTGGTTGTTGGTAACGGCATTCGTTCCCCAGTCTTGACAAATTCTCCTTGTAATACTCAGATGCACTCTAATGAGTAGCATTTTTTTTTAAGTTACATCTCTGGCTTTAAAACAGTGAGATAACCTAATAATCAAACTGCATGTCAGTTCTCTCTTTCTCTCTGGTGCCTGTTTGATGTCCAACAAAGCATCCGCAGGGCTATGATTTTGCTTATTCGAAGACTAATTCTCTGAAAGTAATTTCTGAGTGTAATGGGATGGCAGTTCATGTGATTAACCAAGAGACACCAGTCTGTAAGCACTTTGGGGCAGTGACCTTCTTTCCCCATTTACTGTAAAACTGAGGGCGATCGATTTTTGTACGGATCTCTGGAAGCTGGCTGCGGTGCTCTGCGTACCATCGCTTAACTGTGTTCCACTTTTACCAGTTCCCTCCCTTAAACAGTGGTTCAGGAGTTTGAATTGTTATTTAAATGCTTTCTGCTTTTACATCAAAAGGTATATATACTTAATGGACACTACTGTACTTCTTGCCCCGAACTAGCTGTTGGCTAAAATTGGAAAGTGGGGCAGAGTTTTTTGTTTGTTTGTTTTTCCTTGACAAACTAGCAACTCTCTGACCTTGTGCAGATTATTTAAAATCAGATTTTTCAGAAGGTCCTTACACTGCAGGTTGTAACTAGAGATGCTGGTACTGAAGTCTCTGGAAATCTGATTGCTTCATTGATGTGTCTAACAAGAACTGAAATCTTAAAAAACAAAACACCGCCCCGCCAGCACCAAAATGTCTATGTCAAACCTCCCTGAAACTCTGGCCCTGTGCCTCTAATAGCTTCAGTATTTTCTTCTTTAGAATCTGGAGTGCTTTTATATTTTATAAAGATAGTGCAAATAGGTCCAAATATGTAGATTTAGCTATGTTTGCCACCATAGATATGCTGTTTATTTAAATTTTTGGTTGCTAAATACTGGATACTTTGAGCAAAAGTGGATGACTTTTCAACTGAACTGTTTTACTTTTTCATTTTAATTTTTTAATCCTCTTTCTTTTCTGCAAAGAGACCAGGTAAATGAGGTGTTAAAGAGAAGCTGTGGAACTTAGAGCGGTGGAAGTTTCTGCTCTCAAATTTATCTTAATGTTGTTTGACTTGCTGTAGACTCTCTAGGTTATTCCATCCTATCGACACAATTGCCTTTTTAATGAACTGGGTGTGGGGGGAGCAGCGAGGTGGAGGAAGAAAATGGCGAGACTTGCACTCAAGAGAATATCTATTTTCACTCTTCTCTTGTCTTGTTGTGTTTCAGGTATACAAATGCTCTCAGTCCAGCCAGACACCAAGCCGAAAGGTTGTGCTGGCTGCAACCGTAAGATTAAAGACCGGTATCTTCTAAAGGCCCTGGACAAATATTGGCATGAAGACTGCCTGAAATGTGCCTGCTGTGACTGTCGCCTGGGGGAGGTGGGCTCTACCTTGTACACCAAAGCCAACCTTATCCTTTGTCGCAGAGACTATCTGAGGTAGGCCACATCCTTCTTACGTTCACTGACAAACTTGGTAAACCTGCTCAGTCCTTCCTATGTAGTTGCTATTGCATAAGCGGTACTTGAGGGCTGCAAGGCTGAGTATATGTGGAGGATGAGAAAACAAATACTGAAATATGGAAATAAAACTAAAATCTGAATCTAAAAGCACACACAACCAGGTCATGCAGGTGGTTGCCAGTTTTCTGATGCTAATACTGGGGTTCTGTGCTCAGAGGAGGAAGACAGCAAACCCCCCCATGGTTCCCACAGCACTGTGCTCCCAGGGAGCTGGTGGTCTCCTCCTCCTCCTAGCAGCACAGTGGTGGCCAGGTGTAGCGGCCTGAAACCACGCGCATGGTTTTTACCAGCTCCAGTGCAGAGTTTGAACTCTGTAAATGAGGAATGCTTCACTTGTCTTTGCTTACCCACTTTCGTCCTCTTGGTTTGCCAAGGGATTTCATCTGTGGCACTGGAAGCTTTTATAAATGTTGCCATTTAACTGCTAGAAGCTGGACCAAGATGACCAACTGTCTTCCCCATGCTAAATAACCATGTAGCTAACAGGCTCAAATCCACTCTGGTCCTGATTTAACTCGGTGAGCTGGGTAACCTGTTGCCACTTCTCAGAGATAGCAAATTGTCACCTGATTTTTCTATCTTCCTGTTTACTTGTCCTACGTTCTCAAAAGTATGTGAGGTATAACTCATAGCAAAGTACTGATGAGCAGCACCAGGCTAGTTTATCTGCAGATTGTATGTGAATAAATAGGGCTTCTTTGCAGGAGCTAAGTTTAATCGGGAAGTTTAATCTCCCCAGGCTCTCAGTAGTAAATAGAGAGAAAAGGCTCCTCTGGGGTGATTCAGAGCACCTATTTCCTATAGGAGCACCTTTCCTCCATTCCCTGTAGAGGGGGTCTAATGAGACTAGCTGCTCCAGGCTAACTGGAACTTCTGGGAATATTTCGCCTGCCCCTGTAGTGAAGCCTTTTCCTTTTAAAGGGACATTCAAGTCAGTAATACATTGGGGAAAAATTAAAAATCTCTTTGAACACGTTAACTTACAAGTTCAGTTTAAGCACAGGTACCAAATAGGAGGTTCCCACACACTGATCAGTTCTCAAGTTGTACAGCATGGGTAGGTTGGAACAGGAATTAAGACTAAAGCGTTATTAACAACCGCTGGTACTCTGGCTCTCCACGTTACAACCTGTTTTTTCTAGAGTGGAACAAAAACCTTCGCAAACACGTTGTGCATTTGTTGAGCTGGGGCTGCAAGGCAGATCAGTATTCTTCAGACATGGGCTTGGACTATTTATTGGGAAATGTGCTCTCCTACCCATTAAAACTCTGAACTGAACACAAGATAGAGTGCTGGGAATTTAGCATAGAGTCCGCATCTTAAAGCCATTGTGTTAAAGCTGCCAAAGAAGTAGGTAACAAAACCTTACTTTTAAAAACTGGCAGGGAACTGTTTGAATAGAGGGGAATTGTTGTACATGAACCTAGGTCACTTGTGATTTTAAAGCGTGTGTCTATAGAGAGGTGTCAGAACAACTTCTGGGAGGAAGGTAACACTTACCCTAATTTTTAAAACCCATTTTAAGAATCTTTCTACAACAAGTGCCTACAGGAGTGAGAAAACTCTGCTATGGCTCTTTGATCCGAGTTCCAAATTTGCTGGAAGTTTTGAACTTACTGACTCTCCCAAGTGCTAGTGCAGCAGATCCAATGTTTTAAAGTCAAATGTTTAAAATCAAAACCAGAAGTCATCTAGTAGTAGGGATAGGAGCAAAGCATTTCCCCAGCACAGATGCGCGCACACACACGCTGTTGCTCCCTGATCTTTGAAGGTTTAACAGGAGTAAATATTTTGCTAACAGATTGTTAAAATTCATACTAAGTGATTCAGAGAAAGGAGACTGCATATTTTTTTTATCTGTCATGACCACATTCAAAACTGGCATTTCAGTTATCTGTTCATACACAATATTTTGCACCAGTGAAACCAGCATACATGAGACATCCTATCAGTTTTAAGATGTTTCTGATTTTTGTCACTGGGTTTATCAAGTCTTAATGAAGCTATCTTGTCATGAGCCTTTTTTTATGATTCTTGTGACTGCATAGATTTAAACTTGGTATTTACACTAAACTTCAAACTGATGCACTTAAGGTAATTGCAGATAGTCATTTGCCTCATTGCATCTTATCTATTTAGTTATGCAGTGAACCTATAAAAGTGATCTTTTTAATGCTAATGTAGAAACTAGTTAAATGTTCTCTAGCTTTGTAGTCAAATAAGCTTTCATATTTAGCGACCCACTTGATATGAATTTAAAGAACAAATTACTTTATACTAATGATCAGATTAGGGTTCGATTACAGTTTCAAACTATCCTCTTAATTTTTTTTTTTCTTTTTAACCATAAAGGGAGTCTTTGCTACATATAAAACTGTTCTAGCTTCCTATTAATTTATGTGGTGCCCTCTAGAGGATATGTGGCTTGCATGATACCATAAAGAGTAAAATTGCTTATTAACTTGTCTCTCTGTGTTCATTATGTCTTTCAATAAGACAGCCATTCTACAGATGTTATAAGCAATAACGTAGCCAGTATGGGTGCTTCAACATTCATGGTTAAATTCGCAAACTGTGTGATTGTGTCTTTGGCTATTCGCAAAGATACTTCCAGTATCTCTCATTTAGAGATGCCTGCCAATAAACTAAACACTCCCTCGGCCCTGATGCACGCTCTTGTTCCCCATTTGAGCCCTGAGGTACTCCCTTTGGTGAGCTTTTTATAAATACTCCGTATCTTCAGAACTTCAAAACTTGCTTTGCTTTAGCTCTCTCCTTTGGTAAAAGTAGTTAATTTTACTATATTAAAACCTTTTTCTCTGTGTTGGGAGGGGGATTGAGGGGATGGAAGAAATCTTTAATGAGGTAATGAGCTTGGAAGGTGCTTTGGGTGTGAGAGGCTTTACCCTGGAACCTGATTCATGTCAGTCACTCCAGTGGTTTCAGAGGTGGCATATGATACCAAGGACATTAGGGTGGCCGCAGCAGGAATGAACTCTGTTTTGTTAACGAGGATGAGAACTGACTTGAGTAAAGAAAGGACTCAATGCTGGAAATAACACACTCAGTGAAAATGATATGCAGAGTATAATTCCCCTGCAGGCTTCTGTCTCCTGCTTATACACTCTTGGGTTAGAAAATGAAAACTTAATTTAAGGAACTTAGGTTTACGCCAATATTTCAAGTCCATTTACAGTAAGTAAAATACCCAAGAAGGGTGGGGGTTTTTTTCCCCCTTTTCTTTTTCCCTCCAGAGCTGTATGGTGACATCTTAATGTATCAGCCTATCCTGCTGTGTCTTCTCTTCTGACTGGCAGCATGTCCATTTACAACCACAATATTCCCTTTGAAATCTGTCATTATTGCCATTAATGACCAGTCATTATGTTAACAGCCCTTGGGCTGTTAACATGTCAAACTGGTTGTTAACTGGAATGTTATTACTTATTTAAACCACAGGTATGAGTTGTGTGAAATGCACTTTAGTTGTGTGTTCTGGGCTGCTTCTGCTCAAAACAATAGGGAAACAGCAGATCGTTTGCCTTTGGGGTGCCAAGGGACTTGCTTTCTCTTCCATCTGCTCATTTGATTTCTGCATATTTGTGAGGTCCTCCTACCCCTGGGCTGCCTCTTAATTTCAGGTGCAACTGTGTGCAATCCCGTCTCTTAGCCTTGCGTGCAAATGGGCAGCCGCGGATATTTCCAGATGCACAGTAATGCCTGCCACACATTTGAGATTAATATCTGGCCCCTAAAAGTGTAAAATGAAAGACCAACAATTACATGTAACTCAGTTGTATTAAATAATGAGCTTCCTCGGATGCAGCGAAAATATGAAAGTACAGCTGTGCTAAGCTAGTAGCAATGTAGGTCAATCACCCTTTTCACTTAGGTTTTTAACTACGCAAACCCTGCTGAGCGACCAATGACTACAAAGTGCTGTTTCATTCCTATTTAATTTTGGCAGCATTTTACTGAAGAGCAGGCATTCATGCAGCTAAATTATCTTCACCGTTTCTGGTTTTAACTCCAGCTCCATGACACTAAATGTTGGAGTGCATATCTCTTAGTAAACACACAGAATGTGGTTTCTGATTTTTTTTTTTTTCCAAATCCATCTCTTAACATGGAAATTGAATTAGAACTTTTATTACTTTTTGCATAATTTCCCTAGCCAGGCAAACAGATCATAGGAAAAGGATTAACAAAACTAATATACTGGGGTGGAATTTTTGCCCTTAAACACAACTAGAACCTTATCAGGGATGGGGGGGGGGAATGGTGACACAAAATTCTACCCCCGCCCCCACCACCCGACCTTGATATTGATTTCCCTCATAAATGTACTGCAGGCTTTAAAAGTACCACTGAATAGCTATGAAGATGTGTAGATCACTATTCCTGAAGAAAGAGACAGATCGTGTTAGGTTTTTTTCCTTCCCCACTTGCTGGTTCAAAGACCTGAGACAAGCCAAGTTTTTAAAATACATATATTGGATGAGGTCTTGTAAATAATGAGATGTGACTACAGAAAGTAAAGTGTTCAACCATAAGCATCGTAAAGACGCTGCCTCTATAAAATATTTAGCTTGTGAAAGGGTGCAGACTGAAAAGAGTAGAGTTTAGGAAGCAGCCTTTTCCTGTACAACTGCTCCCATTCTAAAGGCAATTATTATTTACAAAAATTATTACATAGGAGTACTTAGAGAGACTTAAAATGTCTTGTGGCCTGGCACTGATTAGCGGATCCATTTCTCTCTTATGTCATGGAAAGTGCACATTAAGTATTGCAGACACCTAAGAGATCAGCTCTCTTAAATGCATGTATAAATACTCTATATGGATGTTTTCACAGGTAGCGGGTTGTAAGGTGTTTTCAAAATGATGCCTCCGTATGCTTCTTGCCCAGCTTGAT